TGTGTACAAGGCACTGTATTGCCTATAGCAAGACCCTGTTCGCCATTCATCATGTCAACCGACCGACGCATCAAGGGCCTCAAGATAAGGCAGAAGAGCCTACTTGCGTCGTTCAGCCTCATTAAGGCCTTCGTTGACAACTACGACGAGGAAACCGGAGCCTGCGAAATTCCGATTAGCTTGGAAAGCCTCGACGCTCTATGGACTGACTTGAAACAGGTCCAGTCAGAGCTCGAATCCCTCGACGAAGCAACCATAGATCAGCAGTTGAAGCAGCGGACAGATTTCGAGACGACGTATTATCGTGTTAAAGGATTTCTGTTGTCCATGAATAAAACGCCGTCATCACCCCGCATAAACACTTCTTCTTCAAGCTCGCAATTCCCTGGTTCATCATGTCACGTGCGTTTACCTGACGTAAAGCTGCCCATATTCTGTGGAAATCTTGACGACTGGCTCAATTTCCACGACCTTTTCGTTTCAATGGTTCACTCATCGCTCGAGTTGTTCCACATCCAAAAGTTCTATTATCTTCATTCGTCTTTGGCTGGAGACGCCCTAAAGTTGGTTCAAACGATTCCACTTAGTGCGAACAACTACCCCGTCGCTTGGAATTTGCTGGTGGACCATTTTCAAAATACTGCTCGCTTAAAGCAGTCCTACCTCGACGCCCTTTTTGAGTTTTCTTCACTGAAACGCGAATCTGCAGCCGAACTAAGGAGATCTCGCGGCAACTAAGGAGATCTCCTCTCATTGCTGCACCGGTACGTAGAACCGTCTATGGTCAGAACAATCCACTAAATTCCTGCTTGAAAGCCTTCAACGTCGTTGGTGTTCATTACGATTTTACCACAGACAAACAGACGTAACTCTTTGAAAAACTTGTTCTTGAAAACATAGTATCTCAAAACATATAACCTCAGTAACGACATCTCTCTGGCTTCTCGCGGAAAACAAGCTTGCTCGCTAACTCGTAAACAATATTGCATAAAAGTTCTATAGAACATATAGAAACGTCAAAGTGATCCGATGCCAGCGCTGCGGCGAGTAGTTCGCGGAACTAATAATATTCAAATCAACCGTTAAATGCATGAACGAAGATACACAATGAAGAGTTACGTCTGTTTGTCTGTGATTTTACTATTTCTAAAAATGTTTTTAAAAATAGAATTAAGAATATGTAAAGTAGTCTGTAAAATTCAATCGAAGACGAAGCAACAATAAATAATCTGCCAAACAATACTTTCTGAGCCCCGCCCTGACAGGATTTCTGTATTTTTTTTTAAGAATGGGACGAGGCAGAAAATACATTTATTTCAGAATATGTAAAATAGAAGGACCTTCTGATTTGTTTTGCAGTGTCAGCCACTCTATTTTGTAGTCTGTGAGAGGGAAATCACATATATAGTATCATCAAAATACATTGCATGTTGAGAGATTGAGCTCGTGAGAGCGAATTTTCACTCTCAACTTTGAATGTTTTGGCTCTCTCGGGTAAAACTGTGGGGATTTTATTTTTTATGTTATTTTAGCTTATTTATCAATAACTTATTATTACTTTTTTCGACGCTTTGTTACAATGCTTGACATTAACCACTTACTTGTTGAAAATCATCGAATCGATGCGTAGAAATATTTCTGATCGATTGGTGATAAATTTAATGAAATTGGTCCATGGGCAGCTGAGTTATTAACGCTCAAAACCTTTCATAATTTCGTTACATGTTTCATCTTCGATTATCACTCAGTGTACCCCCATATAGAAATCACAGACGCAGTCCTACGTCGAAAAATCCAGCTAATCGATGAACTCAGTTATGTCCTCTGGATATTTTGCAGGACTTCAAATTTACCAATGTTGTACTTTGAAGATTCCATCAGACGTATGAAATCTGAAATCTTCTCAGAATAAACTCAATTATGTTTCAACCAATCTAATGGAGTTGAGGTTCAATGGGATCGCAAATAGCTTCATTATTTCTGAAATTAATTAAATTAGTCTTAATGTTTACAAAAACACCCTCATACATAAACTTTCCTGTTCCAATATGCTTAAATAAACAAATACTCTTGTAGCATCTCCTGAGAATTGAGGATCAATTTGACTTATATTTTTTTTCGATCTGAAATAGTAAATCTAGGTAAATTCATAAATTAATAAAGTTAAGGTGATACTCTAAAAAAGCCTTAGCGTGAAACTTTAAAGGCACAAATGTCAGCTTCCACAAAACATACAAATTTGAAATTGCTACTCCTTGTTTGCTGTGCTACCGTAAAACGGGGTTACATTGATAGTTTTTTAAAGTATATTCTAAAAATTTTTTACAGTAATAAATGTTTTTCAAATTTTATATTTTTTAAACAAATACTGAGGATCCAAGAGTCAATTCGTTAGTAATTTGTTTAACGGGAATTAAAGCATTTGCACTATTGTTTTAGTTTTGTGACCAAATATCAGTATTTTGATTTGGGGTTACTTTGATAATGCTCGAAGAATGTAGAAAAAAAATGCGTGAAACTCAAACATTCTAGTTCTTTAGCATGAGCATGAGCATTATTGACCACCCACGGTTGCTACTCTGTTATTGCCAGACCAGCTGTAATTACACAGAGAACCAATAGACGATGCTTGGGACTAGCAATCATCCTCAATGTGTAAAAACTGGTGATCTCAAACTAGGCAATACCAGCGCCGGCCGCGCCCGAACGCAGGTCAAGAAAGGAAGGGGTAGGAATGTGTTGACGTGACACTCGCTTTGATGGAAGCCGAGAACACCTCTGCACTTCCACGAGGAATCACTGGGATATTGGGTAATAGGGTTGGGTTTGCAGCAGGGTTCGTTTTGGTAAACGATAAGCTGAATTGATTTCCTAACAATCATGCAACGCGAAGGAGCTTGGGATTGAACCCACGGTCTTCTGCTCAGTAAGCAAAAATGTTTGCCACTAGGCAAACGAGCTCCTTTTTAATCATCGAGTTGCTGTTATTACCATGTAGTCATGTTAACAAATAAAACGATTGACGAATCTTGAATGTGGATGGGCTTGAGATTAGACTCATGATGTTCTGCTCAGTAAGCAGAACCGGTTGTGCTAAGGCCACCGAGCCCCTCATATCACATTATACCGTTACTCAAGTTTTAATAACTATTCAAACCCGGCACCGACGACAACGAAAAGTTTTACAAAATACACGATAAACAAGCGATCTAACCATACAATTTTAATATGAAAGGTTCTGGAACCGCGTTTTTCTGCTCAGTAAGCAAGCCACTGCAACCGACGATCTTTGAAATCCTTAAACTAAAAGCTACGAAAGAGGCCTTTATTAAGATCCATTTTCACGCGACGTTCAATGTTTCGATTCTCTCTTTACACATGGTTCAGGTAATCATAACAAGCTATGACCAACGTGACGATTGTTTAAGACCTAGTTGAACAAGCTATTCAAATGAAATTACGTTCTCGAATTTAACTTGACATGTAATGAACAACAGAAATACGCGATAATTCATATTTTCAGCGGTTGGTGGTTAATTTTAAATATACTAACGGTACTGCCTACGACTACGACAGCGACTACGACGGCGCCTACGACAACGACAACAGCGAATTTGTAACTTACACTCAAAAAATTCCGCACGTTTGATCGAAGTGTTTAAACACTTGATTTTTTAAATGCACAATCACATTTACTTTAAGTGTCTTTCACCTTGGTTCAAAATGTTATACACGTTAATATCTAGTGTTTCAAACTTTGAAATGTTGAAAATCTTTCACTATCTATTCATGTATTGCACATTGAATCACACTACTGTTCAAAACAGATGGATTTCAAGTGTTTTGCATTTTGCTTGCTCAGAAAGGTAAACATCGAAAACAAGAGTTGTGACTTTATATACACATACATACACATACACGTGATAGCAACCGTGGCACAGTGGGATCGAACGAAGACTCTGGCAGCAGCACACCCCAACAGTCCATGATCGAATCCCAAATCAGACCCATTAAAAAGATATGTTTAAGCTCGATCAGAAGGACTTTTGGTACACTTTCGTCCGAAAACACTTATTTTTTTTCAAAACAGTTGCGATTGAACCAACATCATTACCGCGTAAATAAACTAAAATTCAATCTGGCAATGATAGAAAATGAAACCACAAACAAATTAGAAAGTTTATATAAAGGATCATTCCAAGTAACTAATATAACTCTACCAAATATTACTGTACTCGATCTCAAACATTCTAGTTCTTTAAATATGAAACTTTGAATGAGTATATAATTAGAAAACATCAGAGGCAATAAGAATACAACATTGAATTTGTGATGGCTATATCGGAAATACATTTCATAAGTGATGGTTTGAGTGCTTTTTCAAACAGGCGAAAAATACAAAAATTGTTTTTTAATATGTTTGTAAAATATGTAACACACACTATATAAAAACTATATACGATATCAACAGAAACACCCTGTGTTACAATGGGAGCCAATATTTTTAATTTAGAAAAAGCGCAGCGAGTAAATTTAATCTTATTATTATACTATCAAAGTTACCCGCATTATCAAAGATACCCCGTTTTACGGTACTACAAACAGAGAGTAGCAATTTCAAATTTGTATGTTTTGTGGAAGCTGACATTTGTGCCTTTGAAGTTTCACGCTAAGGCTTCTTTAGAATATCACCTAAGTTGTCCTCTAATGGGCTCTATCTTGAATTTTAAAATTTTTAATTCTTTTCAAAATACAAGGTTAGAACATTCATTCAGCCAAATATATATGCAAATAAAACCAGGAAACACTTTTTCAAATTTGACATAGGCCCTAGAGCCAAATTCTGGAGCCTTAGTGCACATACGCTAATTATCATCAAAATTACTCAAATAGGCACAAAAAAGTATCGGTTCCAAAAAAATATTGATATATTCATATTGACTGCTACTTCAATTTAATGACTTAATTTTTAAATTAACATTGTTCTCATTTCTTTCCAGTACTTCGGGACGACTTCCGGGTGGAACCCAAGAGCACCCGAGTGGCAGCCGGTGAGACTGCCCTCTTGGAATGTGGGGCACCCAGAGGAAATCCAGAACCCTCCATCATTTGGAAGAAGGTCTGTTGTCATCTGCTCGCCGTTGTTCAAAATCAGCACCTTCATGTTTTCAAAATCTGCCCTTTCCAAACAGGATGACATCCAACTGGACCTGGACGACTACCGAGTCAGCAAAGATCTGGCCCGAGTGCGAGTGGTCGACAGTGGGAACTTGCTAATCAGTGACGTCCGCCCCGGTGACGCCGGTCGTTACCAGTGCGTCGCTCAGAATATGGTCGGCTCACGGGAAAGCATCTACGCCAAGCTAACCGTACAAGGTAAGAATGAGAACCGTTAATTGGAAGGTGATTTATCATTCCACCTCGGGGGAGTCTGATTCGCGAAAGACAACACTTTCCAATTTCTATTCAAATTCTCACCGAGGCCCGTTAAAATGAATTACGACCGCGCACATTTTTGATTTTAATTATTGGCCCAGGCATTCTTGGGCGTGAAGCCATAAAACCGGCGCGAAATGTGTTATGATCAAAGACGATAAGCTTTGTCAAACCCAAGCACTCCGCTTACTAATCAGCATATTAAATTGAATTATCATCTTTGATTGCCAATAAGCGGTCGTATATCACGCGATTAAGTGGGGCCTGTTTTCCAATCCGGTCGTCGCGCTGGTAATTTACGACAGTTTTAATCAGTTTGGTCAGCACCGCCCAGGATGATTAATGGTTGAAATTTTCGAATTTTTATTTTCATATTCGCTGGATAGTAAAACCATACTTCATTGCCAAACCGAGTGATCTCACCGTGCTGGAGGGCAATCGAGTCCAGTTCCAGTGTGCCGTCGGAGGAGATCCGTTTCCGCAGGTGCTGTGGAGCAAGGAGAATGGACACATCCCGGTGGGCCGAGCGGAGATTTTGGAGGAAGATCGAAGTTTGGTCATCAGGAATGCAACGCCCGACGATCTGGGGCAGTACATTTGCGAGGCACATAATAGCGTGGGGCAGATCAGTGCCCGGGCGAATTTGGCTGTCAACAGTGAGTATATTATAATACTGCGGGTTGTTTAAACTGTGTTATGTATATGGGAGGTTTTTTTTCGCTCATACTTGTAGAGGTCTGTATTACTAAACTGCCGCTCATCGCAAGTCGGTCACAGCACTTGAGAAAGTTTGGAAAAACAACAAAACTGCTTGTCCCATCCATCACAATGGTACAAAGCAAACTTGAAACGCGTTTTTCTCCACTTGCCGAATAAGCGGCTGTAACATAGCAAGTTTTATCATGATTTTAAAGCATTCTACAAGTTGAAATGATGGTCTTCAGAACGCTCATTAATCTAAATTTTAACAGGGCTATTAGCTGTTTTCAATCCAATATTCGAAAATGTGTACTCGTGGCAGATAAGCGCATTAGCGACTCAATGAATTAACTCTTCAAAACTAATTTCGACGATACGTTTGCGATTGCAACAAAATTATCTTAAATGCTTCATTTTACTTATCAAATTCCAGCTGCCTGCCTATGCCATTTGGTTGTCTTCAACTAAACCAGAACCTTTGATTCCGTGTACCATGTTCAAATATTTAGCACCATAAATGCCTTATCTAGAAGCGATTTTATTGCTTCAGTGTCGATAATCCCAGCTCGCGATAAAACATCATTTTTACGAGCCAGCAGACCCCCCATCCCCCCATCCCCCCTTCCCATGACCGTTCGGGGTAAAGTGAATCTGTCCCGAACCGTAATCGCGGCAGTCACTGCTGCCAATTTTTACAACCGGTGAGACATATTTGACTTCGGCTTCCGCCCGCTTCTGTGCCCGTGCAAGAAACTCACTCACGCGATTTTTATTACATTTACCAAATAAAAGAACCCTTCAACCCAACACCTAGGCAGGGTGCGAAGGAAATTTACGGTCGTGTCACCGTTTTATTCTCATTCTCTTCCCTTCCACCTACCAAACACAGCTCCCCCGAGTTTCACCGTCCGGCCACAGGATCAACGGGTCGTACCGAATGGGTTGGCCACGTTCCGCTGTGGAGCCAGCGGCAGTCCGTCGCCGTCGGTTTTCTGGACCAAGGAGGGCTCGCAGACGCTCATGTTTCCGAACAATACCTACGGGAGTCTGCAGATCTCCGGGCAGGGGTCGCTGCAGATTCGCGGAGTGCAGCGGGAGGACGAGGGCTACTATGTGTGCTCGGCGCTCAGCGTGGCGGGGTCCGTCACCAGTCGGGTGTATTTGCAGGTAAGAAAAGATTGATAATTGAAAAATTTTCAGCTAAAATTTTATAATAAGCATTAGAAATTTTAAATAGCAAATTCATATTCACAACTGAACAGCTGAAATTGGACTTCTAAATTGAACAATTATAATTGGACTTTTGAAATTATATCCCTAAAATTAGACAATTGAATTTGGGCAATCCAAAATGAAAAGTTTAAACTTCACAGTTAAGTTATTTGACACATGAAATTTCCCATTTGAATATGGGCAATTAAATAGTTTAATTGAAATTAGAATTGGACATTTTAAATTTAAATTCTTCTTCTTCTTTGGCTTTATTACGTCCTTATTGGGACTTAACGCAGGTTTTCACTGTCATAGATGTTAATTGAGAGCTTTCTAAGCCTGTACTATTTATATATTAGTTATATATTACGATGCAAGAACAATCATACTCTTTGCTCAAGAAAGTCGAGAAATTGTCTTACCCAAAACATTCCTAGAACCGATCGGAAATAGAGCCCAGCCACGTCCAGCATGGTCTTGATTTATAGTCGTGCCTTTACCTGAGCTAAGAGAGCTTCCCAAATTGGAATTGGGCATATGCAATTGGAAATGGACGGCTAAAAATTGAACATTTGAATTTGGAAGAAAAATAATTCGAACAATTGGCTTTGAATAATTTAATTAAAATTTGAAAAATTTAAATACGTTAGATTAAATTTGACATTTGAAATGGGAGAAATTGTTCAGTTAAAATTGGGCAGTTAAATTGGACAATTGCAATTGGACATATTAAATCAGAGTTGGTTGGAAAATGCTAACATGAAGCTTTAGTGTGATAATTTATTAGTTAGAGAATGATCTTTTTTTAGAAGAGGGTAGGTGGATAGTTCCGTTAGAGTACGGCAGTATGAAAATTGAATAGAAGTTGAAAATGAGCGAAGGGCCATTAATGCGACAGTTTTTAAAGATAGACGCACATCTTTGCCTAACCCGTACGATGTACGCGGAGACTTGATGTATGTCTCCAAGTCTACAGGCAAAAATGTGCGTCCCTCTTTTGCTCATAAACTGACTGCGGCTGTGGAATAGTTCTAGCGACGTTTTCATCACTACCTAAAGCCCCACGTTGCGAGAGCATTTCCAGTCGATGGTGTCTTATAATGCAATTCTTCTTTACCCAACTATTGTGTTGCTCTGAAAATCGGTAACTTCGCGTATGAAGTAACATGAAAACACTTTGAATATTAAATCAGTAAATTTAAATAGAAAAATTTAAATTGGAAAATTTAAATTTAACAATTTAAATTGAACAATTTAAATTGCGAAAAGAAAATAGGAACAGAAGTGGGACAGTGGAAATTTGACAAAAGTAATTGAGCAATAGGTACTGAAAAATTATGCTTGGAAAATTTTAAATGGTCAATTCAAGTTAGACACATCAAATTGGACTTATGAAATTGGACACTTAGATTTTGACACGTGTAATTGGTTCATTGAACATTTGTAATCGTGCAATTTAAATCGGGCCAATGCAGTTGAACGTTCATCAATTTTGAGCTTTTGAATATGGACAATTCAATTTGGATATTTCAAATAGGTGATTAAAAAATTCCTTCCAGAATTTACTGTTGCTTCACAGCGATATTTATAATTTGAATTGGGATGTTGAAATTGGACAATTGAAATTGGACAATTGAAATTGGACAATTGAAATTGAACAATTGAAATTAGGCAATTAAAATAGAACAATTGAAATTGGACAATTGAAATTGGACGATTGAAATTTGGCAACATAAATTTGACAATACAAATTTGACAATCATTGGAAAATTGAAATTGGACAATTGCAATTAGAAATTTTAAATTGGAAAATTGAAATTGAACAATTAAAATTGAACAATTAAAATTGGACAATTGAAATTGGATAATATAAATTGGGCAGTTGATGTTGAAATTCTTCGAATTGGACATTTGACAATTTAAATTGGACATTTGAAATTGTATATTTGAAATTGGACTATTCAAATTGGACAATTGGATATGAGCAATTTCAATTCAACAATTGAAATTGAATAAATGAAGTTGAGCGATTTAAATTGGACAGTTGAAAATGGACACTTGAAACTGTATAGTTGAAATTGGATTATTAAAATTGGATCATTGAAATATGATAATTGAAATCTAACAATTGAAATTGGACAATCGATATTCGACAATTGATATTGGACAATTGATATTTGACAGTTTGAATTGGATTATTGAAATTATATATTTGAAATTGGACAATTCAAATTGGGCAATTGAACATGAACAATTGAAATTGGACCATTGAATTTGTACAATTAAAAATTGAAATTGAAATTGGACATTTGAAATTCAAAATTTGAAAGTTTACTATTGAAATCGGTCAATTTTAATTAGATCATTGAAATTGGATAAATGAAGTTGACCAATTGGTCAATTGAACAAATTAAATTCGTTAATTTAAATTGGACCATTTGAATTATGAAATTGAAATTGGACAATTGAAATAGGATAATTAAAATTGGAAAATTGAAATGGTATATTTGAAATTGGACGATTCATATTGGACAATTGAAATTGGACAAAAAAATTAGACAATTGAAATTGGACAATTTAAATTGAACAATTGAAATTGGACAATTGAAATTGGACAGTTGAAATTGGAAAATTAAAATTGGACAATTTAAATTGAACAATTGAAATTGGACAATTGAAATTGGACAGTTGAAATTGGAAAATTAAAATTGGAAAATTGAAATTGGATAATTTAAATTAGACAGTTGAAATTGGACAATTGAAATTGGACAATTGAAATTGGACAATTGAGATTGAACAATTGAAATTGGACAATTGAAATTGGACAATTGAAATTGGACAATTGAAATTGGACAATTAAAATTGGACAATTGAAATTGGACAATTGAAATTGAACAATTGAAATTTGAAAATGGAAATTTGTCAATTGAAATTGGACAATTGAAATTGGACAAAAAATTGGTCAATTTAAATTAAACAATTTAATTTGGACAAATGAAGAGGAGCAATTTAAATTGAAAAATTTAAATTGAAAAATTGAAATTGGAACCTTGAAACTGGACAATTGAATTGGACAATTGAAATAGGATAATTAAAATTTGGCAATTAAAATAGTATCTTTGAAATATGAATATTAAAATTGGAAAGTTGAAAATGGACATTTGAAATTGGTCAATTGAAATTCGACAATTGAGATTGCACTATTGAATTCGATCAATTTCAATTGGACTATTGAAATAGGATAAATGAAGTTGAGCATTTTAAATTGAACAATTTATACTGAGCAATTAAAATCGGACAATTGAAAGTTGGTTATTGAAAATCGACTAATGCAACTGCTCAATTTAAATTCGATAATTGGAACCGGATACTTGAAACTGGACAACTGAAATTGGGAAATTGAAATTGGACATTTAAAATTGTACAATTGAAATTGGAAAATTTCAATTGAACAATTGAGATTGTTGAATTTAAATTTGACGATTTAAATTTGACTATTTTAATTGGCCAATTTTAGTTGGAAAATTTAATTGGACAATTTTAATTTGACAATTGAAATCGGACAATTGATATTGCAGAATTGAAATTGAACAATTGATTTTGGACCACTGAAATTGAACAACTGAAATTGGACACTTAAAATTAGGCAATTTAAATTGGACATTTGAAATTGTCCATTGATATTCAACAATTGAAATTGGACAATTGAAATTGTTAAATTTAAATTGGACAATTTAAATTGGTCAATTTAAATTGTCCAATTTACATTGTCCAATTCAAATTGTCCAATTCGAATTGTCCAATTCAAATTGTCCAATTCAAATTGTCCAATTCAAATTGGACAATTGATATTAGACAATTGAAATTGTCCAATTCAAATTGTCTAATATCAATTGTCCAATTTCAATTGTCCAATTTCAATTGTCCAATTTCAATTGTCCAATTTCAATTGTCCAATTTCAATTGTCCAATTTCAATTGTCGAATATCATCCATTTTTCATTTTATATTGTCCAATTTAAGTTGTCAAATTTTAATGGTCCAATTTAAATTGGCCTTTATAAGTTGTCCAATTTAAATTGCCAAATTTAAATTGTTCAATTGACCAATTGCTCAACTTCATTTATCCAATTTCAATGGTTTACAATTGACAATTGGACAATTCAAATTTGATAAATGAAGTTGAGCCATTTAAATTGGACAATTTATGTTCAACAATTTATAAAGGACAATTTAAATTGGATAATTTGAAATTGGCTATTTAAATTGGACAAGTTAAATTAGTCAATTAAAAATGGGACAATTTAAAATAAGCAATCAAAATCGTACAATTAAAAGTGGACAATTGAAATTGGACAGTTGAAATTGTTCAATTTAAATTCGATTATAGAAACCGGATACTTGAAACTGGACAATTGAAATTGAACAATTGAAATTGGACAACTGAAATTGTTTAATTGCAACCGTACAATTGAAATTGTACAATTGATACTGGACAATTGAAATCGGGCAATTGAAAATGGACATTTAAAACTTGGAAAATTGGAAAATTTAAATTGAATGATTTAAATTGTATTAAATTGTAGGAAAATTTCAATTGCACAATTTTAATTTGACAATTTTAATTGGACAATTTTATTGTGACAATTGAAATCGGACAATTTATATTGCAGAATTGAAATTGAACAATTGATATTGGACAACTGAAATGGGTCGATTGAAATTGAACAAATTAAATTGGACAATTTTATTTGGATAATTCAAATTGGACATTTGAAATTAAATAATTTTAATTAGTTAACGGAAATTGAACAATCTGGATTAGGCAGTTGAAATTTATCAATTGAAATTGACCAGAAAAAAATGTTAATTGTATTTGATCTGTTCTAATTGGCCAATTCAAATTGATCAGCTGCAATTAAGTGGTTAATTTGGTCATTTTAAATTGGACAATTTAAACATGTCAATTAACAGCTGAAGTTGAACATTTTGAATTGGAATATTTGAATTGAACGAATTAAATTGGATAATTTCATTGGGTCTCTTGGAATCGAACAATCTATAATGGTCATTTAAAATAAAATTGGTCAAATAAATAAGGAACATTAATATTGTACTGTTAAAAAAAAAAAAAAATTGAAATTCAACTGCCCAATTTGTATTGCACTAATTAAATTGTCCATTATTGACATTATTGACTGTTCAATTAAGATTTTTTCTTTTTAAATGACGAATTTTAACTGTCGGATTACATTTGTTCACCTTCAACTGTCCAAAATCTATTAAAATATGGCAATTTATTTAGAGCAGAGGAAGTTGTTTTTTTTAGGCAGAGGAAGTTGGACAGATAAAATTGGAATTATATCAGAGACGAACCAGCTTCGGGCTGAAATTTTCCTTATTAGAGAAACAACAACAACAATTGGAATTGGACCATTTAAATTAGACAACTGTTATTAGACTGTTGATATTGGACAATTGAAAATTCAAATTGGGTTAATGAAATTAGACAATTCATATTGATCAATTACAATTCAAGTTTTTAACAAATTAAAGTGGTTAATTCTGTTGATACGTAAGAATATTTCCTATGTATTAAACATAAGCTTTGTCTGAAATCGTAAATTTCCCGTAAATTAAAACAATTTCTTCGAAAATCTTTACTTGCGAGATTTTTAGCCTTTGGCTGGTTCATCTCCTTAAAACTTATTCAGAAGGGGAGTTTTTTTAATTATCGGCTTATATGGCCCAAAATTAAAAGGATCTCATAATTTTATGAAATTCTGCCCATAGCTAGCATGTGTGGTCTTATGAAATATTTAAAATTTAAAATTTCGGTTTGGTTAATTTGTCCGGAAATTTTTATTTAAAGTTTTCGGATTTTTTGAAAATTCATCAATCATGAACCAAGTATTGAAGAACAATTCTTTGTTCGTGAAGTTATATAAAAATTTTCTCAGCAATCCATAAACAAAAATAATCTGAAAAATGGTTTCCACGAAAATTTTCACGGTGGAGTGAAAAAGTTTGGAAGATCAGAAAAAAAAATCATTATCAGGGTAATGATAATTTTTCTAATGATTTCTTACATGCTTGGAAAAGTGAAAGATAGGTTACTGGTAAATTTTCAAATGATGATATCGTTCATATAATCATAAACTCTAAACTCTCTCTCTCTCATAAAATATTGTGACCCTTCGGACCAAACCTGTGTGGTTATAACAATGAAATCCCCAGAAGCATCTGACAGAAGAAATTTGATCGAACTGATGGTGTTGTTAGTTAGATAGTTTTCTTTATAAAAATGACAGTAGGTGTAGTTAGTTTGCGTGGGTATTTTATTATTCGTGTGAAATCGACGTTTGAATTCGAAAGCAATGATTGAAATCCGGAATTAAATTCTGGAATCGAAATCATGAATCGGAATCATAAATTGAAAACAGGAATCGATCCCAGAAATCGAAGGCAAAAATTTTTACAGGATAGAAATCAGGAATCGAATTCAGAAATCCAAATCTGGAATATAAATAACAAATGGGGATGGAAATGGAATGCAAATGGAATGGAAATGGAATGGAAATGGAATGGAAATGGAATGGAAATGGAATGGAAATGGAATGGAAATGGAATGGAAATGGAATGGAAATGGAATGGAAATGGAATGGAAATGGAATGGAAATGGAATGGAAATGGAATGGAAATGGAATGGAAATGGAATGGAAATGGAATGGAAATGGAATGGAAATGGAATGGAAATGGAATGGAAATGGAATGGAAATGGAATGGAAATGGAATGGAAATGGAATGGAAATGGAATGGAAATGGAATGGAAATGGAATGGAAATGGAATGGAAATGGAATGGAAATGGAATGGAAATGGAATGGAAATGGAATGGAAATGGAATGGAAATGGAATGGAAATGGAATGGAAATGGAATGGAAATGGAATGGAAATGGAATGGAAATGGAATGGAAATGGAATGGAAATGGAATGGAAATGGAATGGAAATGGAATGGAAATGGAATGGAAATGGAATGGAAATGGAATGGAAATGGAATGGAAATGGAATGGAAATGGAATGGAAATGGAATGGAAATGGAATGGAAATGGAATGGAAATGGAATGGAAATGGAATGGAAATGGAATGGAAATGGAATGGAAATGGAATGGAAATGGAATGGAAATGGAATGGAAATGGAATGGAAATGGAATGGAAATGGAATGGAAATGGAATGGAAATGGAATGGAAATGGAATGGAAATGGAATGGAAATGGAATGGAAATGGAATGGAAATGGAATGGAAATGGACTGGAAATGGAATGGAAATGGAATGGAAATGGAATGGAAATGGAATGGAAATGGAATGGAAATGGAATGGAAATGGAATGGAAATGGAATGGAAATGGAATGGAAATGGAATGGAAATGGAATGGAAATGGAATGGAAATGGAATGGAAATGGAATGGAAATGGAATGGAAATGGAATGGAAATGGAATGGAAATGGAATGGAAATGTAAATACGTCTGTAAATGAACTGCAATTGAAATTGCGATATTCATGCAATTGAATCATTTTTATTGAATAGCAAATAACCATGTCTTTTACCGAACAATAAATCAAAACCCATTCTCAGGTCACCTCATCGCTGGACTCCATCACGCCTCCCCTCCTTCAGCTGGTCCCATCGAATCAATCGCTTCCGACTGGATCTAGCACCGTTCTACCATGCCGTCTTGAACCGTCCCCATCTTCCAGCAGCACCAGCAATCCATCTGACGGTCGCATCACCTGGGAACGTAACGGCTTCGAACTATCCCTGGCATCAACCACCCGCTTTACCCAGCTCCCAGCCGGGTCCCTCAAGATTGACGGTAAGTCCCTTCTTGTTCCGAGGACTTCCTCTTCAAATAGCATAACTCAAATGAAATCATATTTCCTTCAAACAAAGAGCCCAGCAGCAAGTAGCATTAGCTTCGTGGCGGTAATTTCCATCCCATCAACACACACACATACACACACCCTCCCATACACACACTAACTCCCACCAAAGGTTTCTTCAGAAATCAGCTCGGTTCGGCGGATCTACGGCCGCTGCCTGGCTGGCTGTTTCTTCAAGAGTCCTTATCCCATCAGCACATTTTCTCTTCCTCCGTTCGAGTGCAATATTGTAGCAGCGTGCCTGAGTAATGAGATTGCTCGCACTTCTCGGGAACAATGGTTCCAGGAAGATGTAATACCACGTCTATTTTGCGGAATGCTTCCTGCAAATTTGAGTACCACAATCAATCCATCATCATTTTCACTGTGATGATGATGATGATGATAATGCTCTCCCGTGCCAGCTTCTCCAATTCTGGATTGTATTGCATGTGATTTGACAGGATTCCGCTTCAATGACTTAATTGATGCATTAACACATGTTGCATCCATCGGGGCGGGCGATGGGACAGGGGGATAGGCAACGGACATAGGCCCCATTATGGTGATTATTGTTTGTTGTAGGAAAATACGCCCTTGTGCACAGAAGAAGGGTTTTCGGGCGAAAACAATAGCGTTGCGGGATTTCAATCAGGGCCGGGAGGAATTAATGCGAAGGGTTCGTTCAAATAAAAAGAAGTCTTACATATGGATAGCTGAAAAATTGTGCGGGGGAGAATGTTTAATTACAGGGCTCTTTGGCCGATGAGGGATGCTTTTTGACGGCGGTTCAACGGTGGTTGGACTTTTGATGGGATGAAAAAATAAAGGAAATGATGATTGATTAGGGATGGTCTAAGTGATTTTCTCTTTGATTACAACGATTGATGAGTCGATCCCAATCTATTTATGGAAAACAAATTTAAGTGATTGTAATTTGATGCAATCTTTTGGAAAGTAGCCCTTTTACTCGCCGAATCTAACGGAAGCTTGAGTCAAATGGCTTTAGGATTCTATAATAATAATATAATAATAAGGACTGCCAATCCATTGATTTAAAATGTTTGAATTTAAGATTGAGTCCAATAGTGTTTTGGATAGAAAATGAAAAAAATCTCCTTGGATTCCTAATGATCGTGTTAACAAAAAATAAAAACTGATTTGAAAATTTTCTATAAAGTAGACCCCTACTTAGACCTTCTAAAAAACCTCCCCGATATCACTAAAAGTCGATTACTTAACTTGTATAATTTTTTATGGAATTCAATAATTTGGTTTCCGAAAGAGTAAAGGAACAAACGATTGTCTAGCGATGCTTTCATCTGATATTCAACTGGCCTTTTGTGCACAAGGAGCAATTGGCTTCAGTCTTTTTGGATATTAAGGGCGCATTTGATTCTGTTTCCATAGACATACTGTCAGACAATTTGCACATTAGTGGATTACTGGTATTTTAATAATTTATTGTATAATTTGCTGTCAAAAAAAAAACAAATGACCTTCAACTTAGGTCAACTGACACCTTCTAGAATCAGCTACATGGGCTTACCCCAAGGTCATGTTTTAGTCCCTTATTTTATTATTTCTATGCTAAAGATATTGATAACTGCTTAGATAGTCGATGCTCGCTTAGACAGCTTGGAGACGATGCCGTGGTTTTTTCTGAGAGGTCCACGTGCGAAAATCTTGCAAAGACCATTGCAAAAAACATAATTGGTAGTGTTTACAAGGAAGTGGTTTCCAGTCCAATTGCGTCTTAATTTTTTGGGCAGAGACATAACCCAATGTTTGACCTTCAAATACCTTGGTGCCTGGTTTGATTCAAAATGCACTTGGGGTACCCACATAACGTATTTGAAACAAAAGTGTCACTTTCTACGATCAATTTCCGGGACATGGTGGGGTGCTCCCCCGGAAGACCTAATTGAACTGTATAAAACGACTTTTCTGTCAGTACTTGAGTATGGCTCTTTTTGCTTCCTCTCGGCAAGAAAAAGCCACCTAATCAAATTGAAACGTATTCAATATCGTTGTTTACGTATTGCCCTTGGCTGTATGCATTCACACACAATATGAGCCTAGAAGTTCTAGCGGGTGTTAAACCCCTGTAGAACCATTTCTGGGAGCTTTCCTTAAGAGTATTGAACAAATGTAGTGTCAGTAACAACCTTGTGATTGAAATCTTCGAAGCAATGCTCGAATTGAGCACCCAGACTAGATTTGTGCGAATCTACATAAATTACGTGTCATCGGATAATAGCCTTCCGTCAAAGACAACAAATCAAGCAGACTGGCAACTGTTCCCTTCTCCCATACAAATGTCAAACGTCACTGATAACAGCGCCTCTGTCAATCAAAGGTGGAACTTTTAAGCACAAGTGTTAGTGAGACTGCTCATAAACAGTGACTGTGTGTGTGGCCTAATGTCACCGAAACGAATAATCATAACACGGTACTCGTTGTTGTTTTTGTTTTGCCCTACAAAGTTTCACGGCAATTTGTATCATAATCCCAGCAAGCCGGTTGTTTTCCAACTCCAATAAAATAGAGGATTGAAAATAACTTTTACTTGTGAACGAGGAACCGAAATATTGTTTATTTTGCCTGTTGGAAGCAATCGATTACAAGGAAGTGACAGCTTCCACCACCATTGAGTGAACTACCATCATTCGGAAGCTGCTGAAAATTCAAAAATTGTTCGGCTGTCTTTCAGCTTAACATTGTTTCCTTCTACTGCTGTCAGTTCTGAGTCGACCTGCAGAGTCACTTGGTTGGAAGAATTTACACTCGTTCGGCAATCTGTTTGTAGGTGAGGATGGCTATTTTGATTCTGTGGCACTCGCGCGAGTGAATGAATTTTCCCATGCTTGGTTGTCAGAACATAAAACCACCGGATAGTGATCCTCTGTATGCTTTAACAATTCTTGGAATCGACCGACCCCTTCCAGCGAATGATAACAGTGTCGGATTGGCCAGTGACATTCACATGGTCAGCGAGTACTGTGCCAAGTTGTCGAGCGTCACAACTTAACTCCCCCCACTGTGGCCAGGTGCCAAAGCCTTGCGGAACGGGCATGCATTTTACTAATGCACCATACGAATGCCCATAAATGCATCACTAAAGGGCTTAGGAAAAGTGGAAGATAATTCTGAGATAGCAAATTAATGATCGAGGAAGGTCCCACCATCATTGTGAATGGCATCATTGCTATGGTTTAAAATTTTCAAAACAAATTTACTTACGCAACTGTACAATTTCAGCTGGAATTTTACTCATTGTCAGCATATTAAAGCAAAGAACGAAACGTTTCACTTTTTTCGATAATCATAACAAAACCAATAATTGATAGCTATATATTTCTACCGATGTGTGTGAATGCACTTGTAAATTAACACACACCATCATACACAGGTTCCACTTTTGCTCAGAAGAGGCGTTGCCGTTACTGTCTCCTGATTTTTGGCAGAGTTGCCAGTCTTCTTGGTTTGCAGTCTTCGCTTCCGTGCTAAAACCCCACTCGTGTATGCTTTACTAACTACAGTTCTCCCATTGACTATGATCTCTCCATGAAACAGGCTATTCAAGGAGTTCCATATCAACTTCGACCTATCTCAATTCCCCGTGTTTTAGCTGAAAAGTACCAACAAGTCAATTGCACTAGGATCCACTGGCTTCGGCGTCTTCAATGAATACTCATCTGCCTTACGGAAACGTCAGGAACCATGTTCCATTTATGTTGCTGAGCTAGCAGCAATCAACTTCGCATTGGGGATGATTTTCAACATGCCCATAGACCATTACTTCATCTTCTCGGATAGTCTCAGTTCGATTGAGGCTATTTGGTCGATGAAACAAGGTAGGCACTCATCTTATTTCCTTTCAAAGGTAAGGGAGCAGATGTGTGTGCTGGTCGAAAGATCATATATGATTACCTTTGTATGGGTCCCCTCACATTGCTCAATCCCAGGCAATGAGAAGGCGGACTCTCTCGCAAAGGTGGGCGCGCAGGAAGGCGAATTGTATGACAGGCAAATTTCACACGATGAATTTTACCATTTAGTGCGTCAGAGTACCTTTTCGAGTTGGCAAACCGATTGGGACACTGGAAATCTTGGACGGTGGTTACATTCAATTATTCCTAATGTTTCTTCGAGAGCGTGGTTTAAAGGCTTGGGCTTAAGTCGTGACTTCATTCGCGTGATGAGTAGACTTATGTCCAACCACTACTCGCTAGACTCACATCTCTATAGAATAAACCTCGTTGACAGCAATATATGTACACTCCCGATCATGAGCATGAGCATGAGCATGATTGACCGCCCACGGTTGCTCCTCTGTTATTGCCAGACCAGCTGTAATTACACAGATAACCAATAGACGATGCTTGGGACTAGCAATCATCCTCAATGTGTAAAAACTGGTGATCTCGAATTAGGCAACACCAGCGCCAGCCGCGCCTGAACGCAGGTCAAGGAAGGAATGGGTAGGAATGTGTTGACGTGACACTCGCTTTGATGGAAGCCGAGGAGTCCTCTGCACTTCCACGAGGAATCACAGGGATGTTGGGTAAGAGGGTTGGGTTTGCAGCAGGGTTCGTTTTGGTAAACGATAAGCTGAATTGATGTCCTAACGATCGTATAACGCGAAGGAGCTTGGGATTGAACCCACGGTCTTCTGCTCAGTAAGCAAAAACGTTTGCCACTAGGCAGACGAGCTCCTTTTTAATCATTGACGAATCTTGAATGTGGATGGGCTTGAGATTAGACTCATGATGTTCTGCTCAGTAAGCAAACCGGTTGCTCTAAGGCCAACGAGCCTCTCATATCACATTATAGCGTTACTCAAGTTTTTATAACTATTCAAACCCGGCACCGACGACAACGAAAAGTTTTACAAAATACACGATAAACAAGCGATATTTTAATATGTTCAATATGAAAGGATCTGGGACCG